TTTACTGGCTATGTGACCCTGGGCAAGTTCCTTAACTTCTCAGCCTCAGTTTCCCCATCTGTAAGAGAGATAATAATAACAACACCTATATCTCAGGGATGATACAAAAATCCAATTACAACCCATTTAAAGCCCTTCACAATCCTTAAAACACTATAAAAATGCCAGCCTTTTTTCCTGCCTTTACTCTCTCTCCCTCCTTCTCCTACCAATTGCCCCTCTCCTCTTCCAGCTTTCTTTCACATGCTCTCTTATGTGCATTAGAATGTAAGCTCCTTAAGGGTAGGGACTGTCTTTTTTTTTAACTTGTATTAGTATCCTCCAAGCTTAGTATAGTTTCTGTAAGACTTAATAAAATATTCTCTATCCTCCACCACTTTTTTGAAAAATGAGACAATTCCGTACATACATATATTATGTATGCATGTATGTATGTATGTTTGTATATAATTCATCTAGGTCAGATGGTTTGAATTAATCCAGGGTGCCTAAAGCCTCTCTTGTTGTCTCTTTATTTAGTTTGAGTATCAACTCCACTATTTTCATTATATTATTCCCACTGCATAATCCTTTGTCTTTGGTGGAGTAAAGCAACTCTATCTTTATTTTGTTGCTAGTTATTATCATGTCATTGATGCCAAGTGAAGATCTTGACCCTTCCTTGATCCTTTTTTTTCTCCTAATATAACTTCAACAATTTCTTTTTGTTGTCCTTAGCTTCCCTAACCTTAGTTTACCAATAGAGGCCAAGAAGTGGCTTACCTAAATAGGAAGAAAGCTGGTCTCATACCTCTGCCCAGTGGGACCTTGGGCAAATCACTTAAGCCCTCAAGGCCATCAGACAATTCTCTAAGACTCTTAGTTACAGAGCAGGTGCTGACCTGCATTATGAAGAGAGCTTTCTCACCAGAATTCCCTCTGCTACTGAAATCACAGGTCTGATCCAAAAGGTGAACTTTAGGTGAGGTCCACCTTGAGATAAATAAAATGCTCAATTACAGGTGCATGTCAATGGATTGTCAGCATGTCTTCATGAAACCTGAAAAAGATAGTAGAAATGCCATTTTTTTTTAATTTGACCTCCTTTGATTCTGTTTTGTGTGGGCTCAATAAAGAAGAAAGAAATGAAATATGAACCATGAAATAACAGAAGGAGGAACTAGTGGTGAAAGGCTTTTCAGGAAGAGGTGGGGTGAGCAAAGATTGTAACTGAAGGCCAGGATGCACCAAGGGATTACTAGGAGATAAAGCCAGAAAGATATTTTGGGATCAAATTGTGAAGGGGATGGAATTCCTGGCAAAAGAGTTTGCACCTTATAAATACAGAGAACCATTAAAGTTTTCAATTAGGGAATAGCATGTTCACAGAAGTGTTCTAGGACAGCTAATAAAAAACATATTTCTCATCCACAATATCCTTTACTACCTATTCTTTTATTGAGCCTTAGAATCATGAGGAAGTCACTTAACTACTCCTGGTCCTCAGTGTCCTTATCTGCAAAATTAGGGCTTAGACTAGATGACCTTTAAAAGTTTCTCCCAGTCTAAATTTAAAATCCTTTACACTAGTTCCAGACTCTTTAAGGACTGGTTGCCATTACTTCCCTATTTACCTGCCTTCCATCCCACCACCCACTCCTAATCACTCAATCAGTTAATAACAGTAATACAGATGAACCAGCCAATGGGCTATATAGCAGGGAGTATGGAAGATGATTGTTGTCTCTTTTTCATCAGTATGATATTGAACCAGAGGCAGACACTTACAATACAAGACCAATGTTGACTCAACCTACCACACTGCAGGAACAGAGTTCATTGACTTCTTATGCAAACCTTCCCACTGTGACCACGCCAAGAGACAGTTGGGACTCTCAGTAAAGTTGGGAAGGGGATAGTTAGAATGAATTGCAGAGAAAAATCCTCTGTGCTGTGTTATAAATAATACTAGTGCTGATGGTCTAAAAATTTGGTTCCCAGTATGCAGATTAAAAACGTTGCTTTTTTTTTTCCAACTTGCATTGCTGCATTCTGAAATTGTGGGACCTTTCTGCTAAGAGACTTCTGTCAGATTGCTCCTGTAAAGATTCTGAACTATTAACAAACTGGCATGGCAGGCGGGGTGGGAAGTAGGAGGATGACAGACTAGAGGGTTGGAGATAATTTAGAAGGCTATTGTAAAAGTTTCAGGTGAGAGCTCGTGTAGGCCTTGATTAGGGTGGATGGGGTGATCGTCTGGGGAAAAGAGTGAGAGAGTCTATAGAAATGGAAAGTGCATAGTCTTGGTGATTGGCTCAATGAAAAGACAAAGAGAAGGAGAAAAAAAAAAACCAACGAATTTTCAAACCTGAGGGCAGGGAGGATGATAGGGTCATTTAGAAACAGAAAAGTAAGTCTGGAGCACCAGCAGATTGGGACTAGGGTGTGGGGAGGTGCAGTGAGTTTGGTTTAAAACAAGCTAAGTTCAGGATACTACCAGGCAAGCCAGATGGAGATTTCTGTGTCATTTGGAAAATCAATTCATGGATAATAGAGCTTGAAATATATATTTGAGAATCAACTAATTACACAGACAGAGATACACACGGCATGCACACACACACACACACACACACACACACACACACACACACACACACACATACCTCAGATATAAACTGCTTTGCAAATTCTAAATATTGATATAAATGCTAACATTGTTGTTGGAACTGTGGAAATTAATGAGATGTCCTAGGGAGAGGTTGTACAAAGAGAAGAACCAAGAAGAGATGCCTGAGGAATGTCAGCATCTTTGAGTCAAGAGGATAGAAGCATCATTGAAAGAGACAGTGAAAACAATTCCAGAAAAGGATTATTCCACCCTGTAAACTGCCTGCTATGATAGAATATGTTGCTTAATATATATGTATTGAGAAAAAAAACATAAATGAACACAAAATTGATAAAAATACATTTCAACACATAGCATCTTTCAAAGTAGAGATCTAAAAGGCAAAGTCTGGATATACTTAGCATATTTTGTGTAGGACATAGTATATTTTAGGTAACTGATCAAGGCATCAGTTAATCAAAATTAAATTATTTGATTGCTCAACAAAATCATTGACTCAGAATATTGAAAATCCACTTCAGACTAAAAGAGCAATGAACCTAAAATAGCAACTATTGCAGGAAATTCCCAGGGCTTATAATGTCATTTAGGAAGACGAGAGAAGGAATTGAGCCAACGTTACTTTACAGTGTATAAAGAGCTGATTTTTTTAATTGATGGGCAAATTTAGAATTTTTGAGTTGGAAAGAACCTTAAAGGTCATGTTTTCCAATATTCTACTCAATTCATAAATCCCTCTACATCATCCATAAGAGATATTTATTCACTATCTGCTTTAACACTCACAATAATAAGTTCATGTTTTGATAAGCATCCCATGCCATTGCTGGACAGCTGTCATTACAAAATGTTCTTCCTTCTGTTAACAGTTTAAACCTGCCTTCTCAGCATCTCCACCATTCATTGATCCTAGTTCCATCCTTCCAACCAACTCACACATAGCAAAGCAACATTCTCGTATCCATGACAGTCCTTTGGATATTTGAAGATGGCTTCCATAGCCTACCTTGTCTTCTCTTCTCTACTTCTCTTAAATAGTTCACATGTGACATTTTTTTTCATACTACTAACCATTCTTGTTGATTTCCTTTCAGTAGATTTTGGTATATCCATGTCCCTCTTAAACACCAAGAACTAGACATAAAATTCCAACAGTTGAGGTCTAATCAACACAAAGGTTAGTAGAAATATTACTTCCCTTTTCTGAACAGTATAGTATAATCAATGTAGCTGTAACTGTTATTGTTGTTGTTTTTTTTTAACCAGGGTATAGGTCTTTTCTCATATTGAGCTTATTCATCTGAATTGTTATCAAATCATCATGTGCTTATGAAAATTTTTGAGCCTAAACATGGGCATTTATCTTTTTCCCTGTTGAATATAAGCCTGTTGATTCCAAGCTTGATTTTTGAACCACTCTTCAAAATATTTACTATATCTCCAAGCTTTGTTTTATTTAATATTTGGTTTTCATGTCTTCATTCATTCTTTTAATGGAATTGGATTTTATCAATACAATCAACAATACAATCAGCACTAGAATTGTAGCTCACAATCCTTCAATGCTTCACCATGTGGTGAGATTTATTTTCCCTTGTTCCCTCACCCCCACTACATATCCTATGAAAGAGGTCTTCCTATAGGCTTTTTTCATATTACAGCATTGCCAATGCAACACTTAAACTGTCCATCCACCATTTTAACTTGCTTTTAGGACATGACTAGCCTTTTCCAGCCATGCATTTCTTTGATAGGTTTTTGGTGACATTTATTGCATACAAGTCATCATTGGAAATAGACTGCAACAAACCAGGAGAGCAATTTACCCAGCAACAACAATATTATAAATATAATTAGCTTTGAAAGATTTAGTAACTCTGATCGACACAATAATCAACACAATAACCCTAGTTCCAAATTACTTGAGAGGAAACATGCTATTCACCTCCTGTTAAGAAAATGGATGGACTCAATGTGCAAATTGAAGCATAATTTCTTCTTCCTTTTTTTTTTTGGATATGGCTAATGTTGGAACATGTTTTATACATCTATACAAATTTTTTGGGTTTGTTTTTCTTTCCTACTCAATGAATGGGAGACATAGAGGAGGAGGTGGGAGAATTTGGACATGAAAATAAAATTGAACTTACATTGTTTAAAAGGAAAAAAAAAGAAAATAGACTGCAAGCTATTGAGATCTGTCATGTATCTCTAACGTATCTCCATTGCCATTTAGGTCACACACAGTTTGATTCTTTAGATACTGTTATGTTTTAAGATAAAAATGTTAACATTGGCCTGCCCCGACCTGCAGGGCCAGTATACGTGGGGGGGTCGAGGAGGACCCTGGCTGAAGGGAATGGGTGAAAAGGAGGAGTGAGACCAAAAGGATGGTAGGCAAGGTCTAATTTTATTTTTGAGCGTTACAAGCTTATATAGGGCAAAAGCGGGGAGGGGCAAAAGGGGAAAATGGGCCTCCGGGACTTTCCAGGGGCGGTGTGGCGACATCTTGCGGTTAGCCCTGACAGGAACACGTTATGGTACGGTTTGTCCCGGAACAAGCTGCTTGGGGTGTGGTAATCTCACGGGGTTAGGGGCCCACTACCAGGTGCTGGCCTCCAGCATGTCCCCCATTTTGTATTTAAAATAGCAGGTGAGAGGCCTGTCTTAGGCTATGAGGTCGGCCTCCATGTTCAAAGCGCATTAGTGGCAGTGGTCCCTGTCTTAGGCTAAGCGAGGGGGACCCCACGATGTAACCCATCATGGCCTCACTCTATTCCCGTCATGGGGAAACAACTGCAGCCGCGCTGATCTTTTTTTGAAACATGGGACCTCAATATTCCCGTCATGGGCTCTCTCACAGCTGCCAGATCACTTTTTATCCTTAATATTTCTCCACCACCGCGAGCAGCGAGATTCCGGATGCACGAGCTTCGAGAACTGGAGACCCTCTTCCATGGTATCAGTAGGATCTTCTGACGAAGCAAGTTGGTGGTAATGGATATTGACGGTGTTTTTAAGAGAAGCCTCAATCTGCGTCTTAATGAAAGAGGTTAGTCTGGTAAAGGCCCAAGGTCCAAAAGAAAAAAGTAGGAGGAGACCAATTAAAGGTCCAAGAAGAGGGAGGAGGTATGGGAGGACTCCATTCAAGCCACTCCAGAGGGGATTTTCAAAAAGTTTTCTGCGTCTTTCAATCAGATCCTCTTGCAGTTTTTTGATTTTATCCCGCACTATCCCAGATTTATTTGCATAGAAGCAACATTTTTCTTGTAGGGCTAAGCAAATTCCCCCTTGTTCTGCCGTGAGTAAATCTAGGCCCCTCCTATTCTGAAGAACGACTCCCGCCAGGGAGTCAATTTGGTCTTGAAGGTCATTTATCGTCCCCGAGAGGGTTTGCACATCATTAAGAAATTGATGGGATAGTTTTGTATATGAATCAACAGCAACTCCTATGCCGGCAGAGCCGGTAGCGAGTGCCCCTGTAATCCCAAGGCCAACAAGGAGGGGGATAAATGCAACAGCCCTCTTGGGTCTTCCAGTAATATAATCAAAACTGGGCAGTGGGACAGGCTCATCTCCCGGAATGATGTCGATATCAGGGAGGATTGAAATTTGTGTGCAGAGTCCTGTCCAATTCTGGGGGAGAGCAGAGTAGGCCATATTTCCCCCACAGGCGAAAAGTTGTCCCGGCAGGGGACAGAGAGGTTCCTGTGAGGTATAGTTTTTGACTTCAGAGCAATTAGCAAAGGTAGCAAAACCAACATCAATATCAGCAGTGGAATTCTGAAATGGGGCTTGGATACAAGGAGAGGGGCGGAGACCAACAGGTTGTACCTTAAAAGGTGGACTAAGTGTGCAATTTGTGGATGTGGAGCCATTTTTGGACATCAAAGCTATGGGCATAGGTGTGCCAAGGGCCATACACAGCCAGCAATCGGCAGCCAAATCAGGGTTAGAGTAATTAAGGGCCTTAAGTGTTGCTTCAAGGATTTCTGAAGTTTGGACATCTAGGTCCGTTCCCCGGGGTTTGGGCAGTGCAAGTGGATGGTAATGGATGGGGGGATACATACTCTTAATTATTTCATTTATTCGTTCCCTAACCTCATGTTCCCTAATTTGGTCTGTAGGGCCACCCCCATCAGAGATATGGACAGGTGCATGAAGGGGCCAACAGACATTTTTTCCAATATTTTCTTTACGACAGGAAGCCTGAGCATACTTATTGGTACTTCCACGTAGGCCTTGGCTAGTTATATGCGCCCAGTCCCCTCCTGTGGAGCCACCATATTCTCTTTCCTGTATTGTAGTAAGATAGACTGTTCCTGAGCTGCCACTGCACTGCTGGGTAGAACTATAGCATGTGGAGTGCAAGGCCTCAAGGTAGTTGCAATCACTGGGGCAAGGCCCGGGCTGGCCACCATTCGGAGGGATAACTCGGGGCTTCCTTACGCATTCCCACTTGGGTTTGGAGACGCCCGTGATAGAATGACGGTAGGCGAGGTAGGCTGTCTTTTCCCCGCAGTCCACTTCTTGCGTGTAGGTGGCGGGACGGACAGTGAACGTGCCCCCGCCGCAGTCACAAGGGCTTCCAAAGAGGGCACGGCTGAGCGCTACTGGGTCAGGAGATTGAAAACCACCGTGGCTCCCACGGAACAGGAGGAAAATTACGAGGATCGTCATTTTCTGTAAAACAGAGAAAGAAAACAGAGGTGTCTCAGGGGGGTGTGGTTCCCTGGACGGCATTATGAGTTTCTGGCTTGTCCATCAACCTAATCAGCCTTTCAGGCAACCATCTAGCATTTTGGCACTTTGAGTCATAAATACAAGCATGGCCTTTGCCCCAGATTAACACAGGATCAGGGCCCTGCCATTTGCCAAGCAGGGGATCTTTCCATTTTGCCTGAGCGTAGGTTTGGGCCGTAGTGGAATGCCAAAGGCGGTCTGCGGCACTCTTTGCCGCAGTGTCCAGAGTGAGAAAATTTAAAACAAAAAGAGCGTGATTGAGCAATGTTTTGGCATTGCCAGCTCTGGGATAAAGAACTTCCCTCCCTGATTGTAATTTCAGGATCATGTTTTTCAGTGTCTGATGGGCCCTTTCCACAATTCCTTGCCCTTGAGGATTATAGGGTATACCAGTAACATGCTTAATATGCAACTGTGTACAAAAAGATCTGAAAGAAGAACTGGTATAACCAGGGCCATTATCTGTCTTAAGAATTTTGGGCTGCGGGAGGACCGCCAAGGCACTAAGGAGGTGATTAATGACATGTTTGGTGGCCTCTCCAGGTTGCAGGGTGGCAAAAATGAAGCCACTGAAGGTATCAATGGACACATGAACATATTTAAGCCGACCAAAAGGGGGATAGTGAGTGACATCCATTTGCCAAAGTTCCCCGGGGATAAGACCTCGGGGATTGATGCCATTATGAGGTTCAGGAAGGAGGGTCAGGCAACCAGGGCACTGTTTCACAATCTGTCTGGCTTGTTCCCGGGTTATAGGGAACTTGAGACGAAGCGTATGGGCATTCAGGTGATGCAGCTTGTGGGCTTGTGTGGCAGCCTCAACAGGGGAGGCAGACAGAGCAAGCAGAATGCGACGAGTTACTTGATCAACCTGATCATTCCCTTCAGAAAGAGGACCGGGGAGGTCGGAATGGGCACGAATATGACCAATGAAAAAGGGGTGATCGCGGGAGAGAATTAGAAGCTGAAGAGTGGCAAAAAGAGGAGACGCATTAGTGGAGGGACGGATATACGGGACGGTTTCCAATAGAGGGACTGACTGTGCAATATAGGAACTATCAGTATAAACATTGAGGGGGCCCGAGACAGATTCAAAAACCTTAATGACCGCTGCGAGCTCTACCAGCTGCGCGGAGGTGAAAGGGGTGTCAAAAGAGGTGACCTGTCCATCAACACTAAAGGCTGCCTTCCCTGTGGCGGAGCCATCAGTGAACGCCAAATGGGCGCTCTCTATGGGCTCCGCTTTGGTGATCCTTGGGAAGACCACGGGTGTTTTCTGAAAGAACTGAATGAGCTTATCTGAGGGATAATGATTGTCTATAGCTCCCATATAGGAAATGCAATTAACTGCCCAATCATCATCATTCTGAAGCAGCCATTGAATCTGCGAAGCAGTGTAGGGGCAAACAATATGATCTGGTTCTCGACCAAAAAGTCGAAGGGCTGCCTCTCGGCCGAGGCGCAGGAGCCCTGCCGTTAAATGCGGGTAGGAAGAAAGGATCTTTGTAGGTGTGGCTGGCATATGAATCCAGAATAACGGATGTCCCTGCCATAACAATCCAGTGGGAGAAAAAGTGGTGGAAAAAATTAAGAACCAAAGAGGTTTTTGAGGAGCGTAATAGCCAATATGTTGTTCATGAATGGCTTGCTCAATTAAGGCAAGGGCCTTACGGGCCTCCGGCGTGAGAGAGCGGGGTGAATTTGGATCGGAGTCTCCTTTAAGAATATCAAACAAGGGTCGCAGTTCCCCTGTAGTGATCTTAAGATATGGCCGAAGCCAATTCAATTCTCCCAGTAATTTTTGGAAATCATTAAGGGAGCAAAGGTGACTCACTCGTAGGCGAACCTTCTGGGAGAGAATGCGATTCGTCAAGAGTTCAAATCCCAAGAACAGCTGGGGGGGCAGGTTTGCACTTTATCAGGGGAAATATTAAGGCCCCGATATTCCAACGCCTTAATGAGCTCCTGTGATACCTGAGTCAATTCCTCATTATTTGGTCCTGCAAGGAGGATATCGTCCATATAATGGATAATATAAAGCTTGGGATACTGCAAGCGGAAAGGATCAATTGTTTGGGCAACATATTTTTGGCACAGCGTAGGGCTATTAGCCATGCCTTGTGGCAAAACTTTCCACTGAAAGCGCGGAGAAGGGCCCACACAATTGGTAATAGGAACACTAAAAGCGAAGCGCTGACAATCGGAAGGGTGGAGGGGAATGGAAAAGAAGCAATCCTTAAGATCAATTGTAATCTTAGAAAAATCTTGCGGTATGGCTACAGGGGAGGGGAGCCCAGGTTGAAGGGCCCCCATAGGAATCATAGTTTTATTGACGGCCCGTAAATCATGTAAGAGTCGCCATTTACCTGATCTTTTTTGGATAACAAAAATGGGCGTGTTCCACGGGGATGTAGATGGTTCTATGTGACCTGCAGCTAGTTGCTCCTGCACTAAAGCAAGCGCTGCCTCCAGTTTTTTCTTGGGTAAGGGCCACTGGTCTACCCAGACGGGTAGGTCATTTCTCCACGAGATCCTATCTGCCTGGAGTGCAGGAGGACCCGTGGCCCTCACGAAAAATGGTTCTGATTATCTGGGCTCTCACAACCAAGGCCTGCTCGTCCTTTTCTCCCTTCAGCAACAATGGGGACAGTTGCCCTTGACCTTTCTTGCCTAATCCTTGCCCTGGGAGAAATCCCTGGGAGAGCATTTGACGGGTCACAACGGTATTTGGGCTGCACATAATTACCCCCATCTGTGAAAGAATGTCCCTTCCCCATAAGTTGACAGGTAAGCCGGGGATCACAAAAGGCCGAACAGTCCCTTTATTTCCTTCTTTGTCTTGCCAAGGCAGCCATTGAGAGCTCTGTAGGGTATTGTGGGATTGACCTATGCCCTGCAAGTGTGTCATGGATGGTTGAAGGGGCCACGAAGATGGCCAACTGTCTTTTGAGATAACAGTCGAGTCAGCTCCTGAATCTAATATTCCTTCAAAAAGCCTGCCTTGAATAAAAAGCGTAAGCATGGGGCGGTCTTGGGAAATGGCCTGGACCCAATAGATGTCTGAGGAACCAGGCTTGGAGTGGCCTCTAACAGTGGCGAGAGCAGGGTATGGAGTCTGTAGGGGGAGCGGGAGAGCCTGCGCAAGGCGTTGTCCCTGACGGACAGTGAGGGGCCCTTTCAGGGTTGAGGCAAGTATCTGAATTTCCCCCGTGTAATCACTATCCACAATGGAGGGGTGAATCATGAGGCCATTAATAGTAGCGGAGGCGCGACCAAGGATGAAAAAATAGAAGTCAGGGGGCGGGGGGCCAAAGATGCCTGTAGGAATAATATGGACGCCACCCTCGGGAGTCAATACTGAGGTGGAGGCGGCACACAAGTCCACCCCTGCGCTTCCTGCAGTGGCTCTGAAGAGTGGGATGTGGAGTGGGGTGTGGACTGGCTGATCCCCGAGGCCCGAACAAAGGGGGTCGACTGGGGGGCCCGGGGCTGGCCCCTCCGACCGTTTCCCTGTAAAGGGTGGCCATGAACGTCTGTAGTTGAGCGGCAGGTATTTGCCCAGTGTTTCCCTTTCCTACACCGAGGGCAGAGGGTGGAGGGTTGGGAAGCCTTATTGCTGATTGGAGCGGAGGGAGTGTCAGGGGCACTAGGGCACTGTCGGGCAAAATGGCCAGGTTGACCACACCGGAAGCATGCCTTTTGGGGGTCCCCAGGTTGACCACACCGGAAGCATGCCTTTTGGGAGTCCCCGGTTTGGAGAGCTGCCCCTATGGCCAGATGTACGGCCTGGGACATTTTGGTAGTGAAGGGATCTACATCTCTGCACATACGTATCATTTCCTCTAATGTTTTATCTCTCCACTTCCCGCGTAAGGCAGACCGACAGGCATTGTTAGCATTTTCATATGCTAAGCGTCTCACAAGCTGATCATTAGACGCTTCTTGCCCTAAGGTTCGTTCAGTTGCTTCCAAGAGCCTACTAACATACTCAGAGAAATCTTCCTGAGTTCCTTGTACGATCTTATTAAGCGGAGCAAGGGGGGATCCAGAAGTGGGCAAGGCACGCCAAGCCGCGAATGCAGCATTGGCGGTTTGCGCCAAGAGGCCTATTGGGAGGCAGCGTTGTTTGGCCTCCTCTGCGTATTTCCCTTGACCACTCAACTTCTCATAAGTCCACTTTAAAGCGGGGGAGCCAGGGGATTTTTGGTTGGCTGTAGCCATGGATTGGCAGCGGTCGAAGAAATCTGCTTTCCATGTCAAGAACTGCCCCCTTGAAAGGACTGCCTGTACTACACGAAGCCATTCTGCCGGCAAGAGATATCCTCCGCGGGACATAGATTCAAGAGCTGAGAGGGTGAACGGGGCGTTAGGACCATAGGACTTGACGGCGGCGTTAAGATCCTTAATCCCTTTGAACTGCAATCTCCTATATTCTAACCGCTGTCCTTCCTTTTTTCCAATTGCCCATTCCTCTTCTTCTTTTTCCACTATCCTGTCCCTCCCCCTCTCCCTCGTCCTCTTCCCCTTCTTCCTCACTTTCTTCATCTCCCTCCCCTTCACTGGCAGAAACTTCCTTGGGGTCGTTGTGTGAGGAGTCAGGCTGACGAGACCGGGTCATAACAGGGAATATCATGGGCTGTGCCTTGTTAGATTTTCTATCTCTAGCACTGGCTCTGATCTTTTTCAGGGGTTTCTGATGTAACTGCGACCTATTGGGGGAAAAATGACAGAATTCTGGAGGGAGTGTTGCAGGGAACTCAGTTCCGAAGAGAGTTGTGCATATTGCTTTTGTAGATCTAAGACTTCTCGGAGCTCCTTAACTTGAGTGGAGAGTTGACTTCTGGCGGATGTGAGGGCTGAGGAAGTGGGAATGGGGGGCAAAAGCGCAGGAGCGCAAGTCTGGGATATGTAGGGAGGGGGTAGGTACTGGGGAGTTATGGGCCAGTCCGGGTTATTATATCGGGCGGCTTCTTCCTCCAGTTCCGCCTCGTCCCCGGGATCTAGAGTATCAGGGTCAGGATCTCCTAAAGGAGGAGTTTTGTGTTTTGCAATTATAGGCAGTGTTAAAGGTTCAGTAGCCGGGACCGTTTCCACAGGGAGGGGAGGATAAAGAGGCTTTGGAGGTTCCGGCGGAATGGTAATGACCACGGAGGGGGGTCTAGGGGGACTTTTTCCCACTGATTCTAATGACTTTGTAGAGGCGGTTCGTGATAAAGGGCGCTGTAGCGATTTAACAGAAGCTGCCCGCGACAAGGGGCGTAAACAAAACTCTGCCACCGAAAGGAGTTGGCGCTTGCCTGGGTCCCCAGGGGCAGATTCCACTATGTCTCTGATGATACCCCAGTAAGAAAAAGCCGAGGGAGGGACCGCCTCTGGCCCTTCAGTTTGCAACTTTCTATTGAGGTCTCTCCCGACCTTCTGCCACTTTCCCGGATGAATATCTGGGCCGGTAACCATAAACCAAGGGCAGACCTCATCTACAAAAAGAAAGAATTTCAAAAGGTCCTTTTTCTTAACTTTAACTCCTCTCTCCTTAAGGGCATGCTTAAGGTCTTGGATAAAGACCTGCTCCTTAGAAAGGTTGGAACCCATGATTAGAATGAGGCGGACGAAAACTCAACTTACCAAAACGCAGGGGCTCTTCATGAGCGATGAGAAGGAGGGGGTCGCGACGAATCGTTTCTCAATGCTGGTCCGCCTGGCAGAAGTCCGAACCTCGAGCCCCACGTTGGGCGCCACTTGCCCCGACCTGCAGGGCCAGTATACGTGGGGGGTCGAGGAGGACCCTGGCTGAAGGGAATGGGTGAAAAGGAGGAGTGAGACCAAAAGGATGGTAGGCAAGGTCTAATTTTATTTTTGAGCGTTACAAGCTTATATAGGGCAAAAGCGGGGAGGGGCAAAAGGGGAAAATGGGCCTCCGGGACTTTCCAGGGGCGGTGTGGCGACATCTTGCGGTTAGCCCTGACAGGAACACGTTATGGTACGGTTTGTCCCGGAACAAGCTGCTTGGGGTGTGGTAATCTCACGGGGTTAGGGGCCCACTACCAGGTGCTGGCCTCCAGCATTGGCCCACTAATTAAAATTTCAGCTATGTTTATTTAACCAGCTATAAGTTTTTTCTAATCGAATTATGACAATGAATTAATAAATGAATCTGTATTTCTTAATCTTTTCTGAAAGAATTATTGAAAATAGTATCACCAACTTGTTAATCAGCAAACAAGTTGTTTCACTTCTCAATTTCTACTTCTTTAAAATGAGGGGATTAAACTAGCTTTTCTTCCATGGTTATATGATATTTATGTGAGATTTTGTCAATTGCCATTTTGAAATCAAGATATATTATGTCTATTTCCCTCCTTTGATCTGCTAAGTCTAGAAAGCCTATCAGAAATGCAAATAAGGTTAGTTTGGCATGTCTCATAATGTCATTTGGGAAGAAGGCAAGAAGGCAAAGGGAGTTGGGCCAACATTAGTTTGCAATATGTGAATAAACTACTTTTATTTCGGTTAAAGTACCAGGCAGAGACTGTACTAAGATTTTCTTGTGGCTTTTCTATCCCCTGGATTTAACTTGATTGAGAAGAAGATAGCTTAGAGACTTAAATTTGGAGCCAAGATCTTGGGGATAAAAACATAAAGTAATGAACTATATTTATGCAGGTTAACAAAAAGGTAGAATTTAAAGTCAGGGTAAGAATGAGCAGTTATGCGGCACAGTGGATAGAGTGCTGAGCCTAGAGTCAGGAAGACATACCTTCATGCATTTAAACCCAACCTTGCATACTTACCAGCTGTGTGACCCTGGGCAAGGGTCCCTGTTTGCCTCAGTTTCCTCATCTGTAAAGTAAGCTTGGGAAGGAAATGCAAACCACTTCAGCATCTTTGCCCCCAAATGGGTTAACAAAGTCAAGCATCACTGAAAAATACAGCAATAATGAGCAAGGATGTAAGCATGTAGTTTAGATGCAGCTCAATTTTTCCCTCTAGGATGTTAAGAGTAAAGAAGGAAGAGATAAAATAATTCATCATTGATGAAATTGAACATTGGATAAGATAGGACCAGGAGGTAAGAATCATAGAATCATAGATTCAAAGCTGGAAAGGATCTTAGAGACTGAGTCCGACTCTCATTTTTGACAGATGAGGAAACTGAAGCACAGAGAAATTAAGTGACTTGTTCAGGATCACATAGCCAGTAAGTATCTGAAACAATATCCAAATCTAGTGCTTCTTAACTCCATGTCCAGTGATCTCTAAACCACAACATGCTACATATCAAAAAGTGCTCATGTTTGAACTAGGATCTGCCTGAACCAAATCTAGAGTACTTGCCATTATTCCATGGACAGGATGTGTTGTTTTGTAAAGTGGTACAGGGCAGGGAATGCTCAGCAATCACTAACTCTACAAGGATTCCTCACTGATTCCTATCCTTGTCCTTGCAAATGGTGAGGAAACATCTTTCTTATGAATACAAAAGATTTGGAGTAATTATAATAGCATTACAAATACAAATCTGTAAGTTATCTATTTTGCTAGAATTCCTCTGAACAGGTCTTGATTTTCCTGTTATTCTTTATGAATTCACATGTTAACTTTAATTCTTCCCGCTATGAAATTTTCAGATCTATAGATTCATTGTGAACTGAATGCATTTCATTTATCTGTTTTGACTTGTCAATCCTGACAACTGTCAATTGTGATGTTTTAACCACTGAAGTTGCTGTTTCTCGAAAGCTGTGGCTTTGATACACGCGCCCCTCCCCCCTTTTCCTGATGGCTCTCCAATCAGAAGGCTCTCTTGGAAAGTTTTATGTAGTCTTCAAAGTTCTGTTGTATTTATGGAAATTCAGTGAGCTCCTAGCAGAGCATACAATCAGTGCCCTTGTGGCACATGTCATGTCCCCTTTCAAGATGAGAAAACTGTAATACAGAAATTATCTCTATTTATTCAAGATTGAATGGTAAATAGATGATAGAGCTGATAAAAGAATGTATAGTATGGCAGTTGCCTAGCTATTTTTAGTTCCCTCAACCAGTCTACCTCTGTAACTGATCATGAAATGAGATGTATTGGATGCAAACTCTGCGAAGACATAATTTTATTTATTTAGGATATACTGTATACATAATGAATGTAATTATCTACTCTCTGAAAATATAGACAATATTGAATAGACTTTCACAAATATTTTGGGGAGTTAATGCAAATTTTATCTGTCTAACAATGATGAGTTTCATAACTAGTCACTTTGCACATTGTTTTTCACACTGAAATTAAAGTGTGGTGAACTCTCATAACCAATTAGCAAGGAACAACTGCTGTTTTCCCCTTAGTATGGCTCATTGGGTGAAAAATATCAGGAGAAAAGATGCTGCTTTAGGAGAAATAGGACTGTGGACGGACTGGCCAATGAAATAATTACTTTTGAGTTGCAGAAATCAGGAAATTTTGCTCTCATCCTTTTACATAAATTTAATAGCTAATGTTTCTGAGAAATTTTTCAATTACAGTTGATGATGTCAATCATCTAATTAGGCTTACTTTTCTTGGGGATGCAGTATATAATCCTTCACCCCAAAAGTGTGGTGCAGATTATTGCTTGATTAGTATTTTCTTTTAAGTTGAGGACTGGAAATTGAAGGTAACTTCCCCCCCCCCCCGTTCTAGCGGGAAAAAAGAAACACAGAACTTCAGGTCCTGGCAACTGACAGTATAATCTTTGGCAGGCTTCAATATTCAACTAATTTTTCCTTTTGAAAAGGTAGTAGAAATATAATATTTGAATCAGGAGTGGAAAAAATAAAACAGGATTCTTGTCCAGATTTTGTCATTGGTCAGCTATGTGATATTGAGCAAGGTGATATTGAACCTCAGTGATTGAATCTATAAAATGAAGGAGTTGATTCTCTAATGCTCTGTACATTTCTTTTGAAGTTCTATTATCCTCTTCTGCTGTTGGATGAAGTAGCTATCTTATTTTTAAATAATAATCTCAGATATTGGTTATGAGTAATAGGAGGTAAAGAAGAAGAAAGGAGATCCAAAGAATTCTACCCATGCCAGTTTCTTATATAAAACTTTGGGTTGTTCCATTCATTCACAGCATGTACCATTAATTCTCTGATTCTGTACAAAAATGAAATTTAAAAAAAAACTACCAAAAGGGTTACTTTGATTTGTAAAAGAAATATCATGCCTAGTAGTCTGTGGACTTTTACCTTAATCACATGACTTTATTTATTACCTTAAACACATGACTTTATTTATATTTATAAGAAAGTCAAAATAAAAAAAAACTTTTTCTTTCTTCTTCTCACATGCCCCTTAAATCTCGTTAGAAGTGTTAAAAATCAGAACCAAGGGTATTTGATATTTGATATTTAACTTGGTATTTACCACAGTGATTATAAGATGTCTCAGTTGTATACCTCCACATATTTCCATGTAGCCAATATCTTTCAGGTGTCAGAATTAAATCAAGGAAAGTGTTTACCACTAATATAGCTGTTATCTGTTTATTAGATGAAGGATATCAGAAATGACTATGTGTTATATCAGCCATAGTCATTTCCTGGATCCCAAGATTCTTGACTCTGCTTTATATAGTAATAAGTGTTTCCTTGAACAATTAAGCAATTGAGAAAATGCCCAACTCAAGCCTTATTTAGCCTGCCTGCCTGGGAAGACCTAAGGGGTCACAGGATTGGGGGTGAGGGTTTACTTATCAATCAACAGAAATCAATTCGCAAGACCAACTAATGGTCCAATAAGTATCAAACACTGCAACATGATCAATAATGACACTTGGCAATGGAACCGGCCACTATCTAGTAGAATGCTTTGGTTATGAAAACATTCATGTAAGCTAGGGAATCTAAGAACTTCAACCAAGAAGCATTTATTGAATACTTACTAGGCGCCAGGCACCGTAAAAGGCCCTGGGGATACAAATATAAAGAAAGAAACAATCCATACTTACCAGGAGTTTCTATTTTAGTGAAGAAAATGACAAATTACTTATAGGAGTACATATAGAGAAAATATAAGGTGATTAAATACAAAGTAGTTTGGGTAGAAGGGCCCACCAATCTGGGAGGATTAGGAAAAGCTTCATGTAGAAGGTATAGCTTGAACTATACTTTGGAAGAAAAGAGGGACTCTCTAAGGCAGATATGAGGAGGGAGTACATTTCAGACACAGGAAGCAGCCAATATAAATGTGAAGAGATGAGGGATGAAGTGTCCCAAGGAGTTTCTGATTCTACTAATCATAAAAATGTTTTTGTGTGACATCATTATTTTCCAGTAACCAAAAGTCAAATAACCAAAAGCCTTATAATTCTGTGTAATTGACTAAGGAATTATGCATTGTGATGGAGTTTTATTCCTTAACAACAAGTTTGCAATATTGCTTGATTGATTGCTTCAATGATTCAATAAATAGGGCATTCTTGCCTGACAAAGGTATCTCGGTAAAGATGTTTTTTAAATATTAAAACTTCATATAAAAATATGGAAAGACTTGGATTTATGAAGCGAGATGTCCAACTTCAGAGAAAAAGAATGTAAACAAGTATAGTACAGTCTTACATGGAAGCATATGAATATATATGTCTATATATGAGTATGATTATAAACATCTAAGTGTGTGTAAGTGTATGTATGTACATATGTAAATGTATGTTTATGTGTATATAGGTGCATACATATATACATACATGTATGTATTATGTATTGTATAAATATATCCATGCTTAATTGTAGCATTCTTGGAAGGGGAGAAAGAAAAAAAAGAATAAAGTAAAAAGTGCCCAACAGAGAAAAAAAGAAAACTTTTAAGGAAGCGAAGAAAAAAATGGACCACTGAACACAATGTGTAGTATTTATTATATATTTCTTGAAAATATATATGATTTATACATATTATGTATTTCTTGAAATGGAAATTTATTGCTGTATATTTTGAATTCTAATGTTCTGCTATACACATGGCAATGCTTTTTTTTCTTATTTTGTATTAACATATTAAAGTTTATAGTATGTCCTTTTCTTTTCT